TATATTGACAACTTTCATGCAAAATAAAATATCTCTATTTTTTAGGTTATGGTTATTTCTTTCATAAAATAAAATAAATTACATGAAATTTTAAATATCTCATATTGATACATGACATTGTATTATTTATTTTTGTAGTTTTTTAAAAGTCAAAGAAATTATGGATGATGTATTATATAAAGAATTGAAATTTATTATTGAAAGGTATGACATTATTCAATTTAATTATTTATTAATTCTGATATATGTTTTAGTTATGTTAATGTTAACTAAAAGTAATAGCAGAATGACATTTAATTTCTATTATAAATTGCAAGGAACCTAAAAATCATCCTAAAGTAGAATCTTTATTTGGTCTTTTTATTAAGAAAATTTTATGATAGTAAAACATCATATTGTGCAAAATTATTTATATAATTATATGCCAAATGAATTCATTCCGTATATGAGTTATTTTAAATTTTAAGATAATACACATAATCGACCCCACTAGTATATATAATAAAGATGGTAAAAAACAACTGATTAAATCAATATATTTTGGCTCGTCTTTCCCACCAACTCCCTGTAATGGAATACGAAATGATGGATGACTAGCCCAATAATAGTGATTGAAAATCAAGATAGATGGGTTGGCCATCGTAATTGAAACAAGAAAAATTCATGATTTTGATTTTGTTGTTAATTTAAATTGATATTTAAATAATTTAAACATATTAATAGTTTATTATATTTAGCATGAAGGTTTATTTTATCTTATTGTTAAAGATAATTAATTAACTATAGTTTATAATTTAAAATTTTGATATTTTAACATGCCATCCCTAATCACTTTACCGGCCTTTATCTAATTATATAATGATATAAACATTAGAAAAATTTATCCTTTAAAAAAAAAGTTTGTTCAAATGCATGATATTTTAATTAATACTTTTTATCTAAAAATAAAGTTAAAAATGAATTAATAATGATGTAATTTTAAAATTAATTACAATTAATTATTGATTAAAATTTTATTATATAAAGTTGTTAATATTAAAATAATTTTTCCTCAAAAGAAAGTCCACTCAAATGTAGAATATTTAGTCAACATTTTTCTAACTAAAAAGTAGAGTAAAAAACTTATTAATAATAAATTCAATTCTAAAATCAATTATAATAAAGTTTTATTAAAATACATAATGACTAATTATGTATTAACAAGTATAAATCTTATTTTATTATATATAATTGTTAACATTAAAAGTATTTTCCCTATAAAAAAAAAAAGTCTGCCAAAATAGAAGATATCTTAATTAACTTTTTTCTTGGCTAAAAAAGAGAGAGTTAAAAATGCATTAATAATAAAATTATATTCTAAAATTAATTATAATTAATTTTGTTGATTGAAATTATACATTGTGACTCTTTTCTACTCTAAAATGTTTTAATAAATTACAATAATAAAATTATGGTTAAAACCCTTATTTGGTCCCTTATAATATTTTTTTGTTTCAATTTAGTCTCACTTTAATTTTTAGTTTCAATTTGGTCCCAACAATTTAAATTATTGCAATTTGGTATTTCCGTTCAAATGATTTAAACGAAGTTAACTGTTGGCCACGTGGATGCTAGGTGGATACCACGTAGATGGATGCCAAATTTCTTGAATACACCTGGAACCAGAACAACCCGTTCTGAAACCAGAACGACCCGTTCTGGTTGCACTCTTGGTGTGTAAATTTTGTACCTGGAACAGACCGTTCCAGATGCAAAATTTACACACTAATAGTGTAACCAGAATGGGCCGTTCTGGTTCCAGAATGGTCGATGACTATAGTTCACGGTTGTGAATCGTGCAAGGAAAAAGACCCAAGGTACAAAGCATTTCAAACACTAGATTTGGTAATATTGTCAATGGGGATTGATAACTTCAATTGCTAAACATTTGGGCTATACAGTGTATTATTAAGGATGATGCAGTGTATCATTAAGGACAATGGTAACAAGTTTTATTTCATTGTTAGTTAAACTAGAGTGAAGCACTTACTACCAAATTAACACTATACAGTTAAGGATGAAACGAAACGATGTTTTCCCTTGAAGTCATTGACGATGTACCCTAACAATAACAACCTGTTCTTGAGGAGGTACAACCTGAATTTTTGTGATTTAGGGTTTCCCTTCAGCGTTACCTAGATGATTTCCTTTCTTAGTAATTTCTTTGAACTTTTTTAGTATATGTTATGTTCTGAATTTTTGTTTTCAGTTTCTAAACCATGTTTCTATCTTTGAATTTATGATATGTTATGAATTTTTATTTTCAACTTTTGAATCACATTGCAGCATTTTGTCAATAGATGCATGAAGTTGGCATTCTGGAACGGGCCGTTCTGAATCCACAACGGCCCGTTCTAACACCAGAACGACACGTTCTGATTTTAAAACAGCCCGTTCTGATGCACTCATGGTGTATTAAATTTGCATTTGGAACGACCCATTCCTGTTGTAAAATTAACACATAACATGTGCAAGCAGAACGGACCGTTCTGGTTTCAGAACAGGTCGTTCTGGTTCTAGGTGTATTCATGAAATTTGGCATCCACCTATGCATCTACGTGACATCCACCTGACATCCACGTGGCCAACAGTTAATTCCGTTTAAATCATTTGGACGGAAGTACCAAATTGCAATAATTTAAATTATTAGGGACCAAATTGAAACTTAAAATTAAAGTAGGACTAAATTGAAACAAAAAAATATTATAAGGAACCAAATAAGGGTTTTAACCTAAAATTATATATGTTGTAAAAGAAAATTTGCAAACAAAGGTAAAATGATTCACTTGAATCACATCACATACTCTATTACATAAAACTCAAGTATTTCAATAACAAAACAAGTTCTGAAATAAAAAGATGTTTAGGCATTAAAACTTCCTTTACAAGCTCTTAGAAGTAATCTAAAACTAAAATATGATAAAAGAAACTTTAAATCTAAAATAAGGTTCAAACAAAAGAAAAGATAAGATAATCATCTAAACTCTAATCTCTAATGTCACACTAATCTTAATATATACAACTGTTAACATTAACATTAGAAAAGAAAATCCTCAAAAACAATTTAGGGGAAGAACCAAGCACACCAAATGTATGATATTTTAGTCAACATTTTTTTTAGCAAAAAGTAGGATTAAAAACACATTAATAGTAAGATTAATCATAGAATTAATTAAAATTATTTTTTTTATTGAAATTATGGATGATGACTAATTATGTATCTTATCTTATTATAAAGTTATTAATATTGAAATAATTTTTCTTCAAAAAAAAAAAAGTTTTCTCAAAATTAAAATATTTTACAAATGTGAAACCCTCTAATTAGGAATGACAAATAAACTTGTATTCATGAATAATGTTTGAATTTATCATGACTTTAATGAGAAATGTCCGGTTTGACTGGACACGATACAAATACAAGTAATACCCAATTTATTAAATTGGATACGAGGATGAGGACGAGTATATACTTACTCACCCTATACTTTTTCTCGTCTCCATTTTAAATTTATAGAAACTTAATTTACATTTTTTTAGAATTTACTTGATTTAAGTAATTCTTAAAGCCTATTTGGATATAAGCTTAGAAACTTTAGAGCTTTTCTATTGAAAAATACTCTTTATTTCCAAAGAGATAAATTCTCAAAAGTATTTATAGTTTGTATCTAAAACTCAAAGATTAACAATTTACACTTTACCACTTTCACGTTATAATTATCATTCACAAAGCATAGGAGAATCACATGGAACACAAATTCACAATATAAAAGTTAGGATTTGGGTTCCTCCCACAATACGCATATAAACAAACATAGAGATTAAGAGTCAACCTTGTTACTCAACATATAACTCACCATAAAGTAAGATTACTCACTTTCTCTTACCTCGATGAACACTAGCAGATGAATGCTAACCTCTGGGACGATCCCCTTCTTGCTATCTAGACAATTTTTAAGTTCTAGAGAGAGAGAGAATAAGCGTAAGGTAAAATCATAAACTAACAAAAACTTTAAAACACTCCCTTTTATAAATAAAATAAATCATAATTATCAAAAACAATATACTAAAGTACATATTTTCCACATACATATTATGCAAAAGCCTATTAGTTATTTCCAAAAATTCAATTAATTAATTAAAACTCATTAATTTTAGAAAAACTTGGGGTGTAACATTGCTTAGTGATTTATGGTAGTCTAGTGGGTGACCTAGAGTGGTCAAGCTTGTTTAATGAAGGGAGCCACAACAAACTTTTTCTGTTGAGTGAGAACAACCCGCCTACAAGAAGCCTCATAAGGGTTTGGGCACCCGATGAGACCATATTAGCCTAGTGAGATAAATCCCTTATTTGACAAGAAACCCGATTATTAATATTAAAGATAAGATATGATATTTCTTATCATAATTGTTTTCTCATCAAATCTTGAAATCCTTGAAATGCATAAGCCTGTAACTACCAATTATAAAAATCTTACACACTTGGATCATCTTCAAGTCTACGACCTTCACTAGAACAATTATTATAAATGAATCAATTTTACTAATAAAAAAAGATTAATTTATTTTTGCTCTCCAATTTTTTTTAATCTTTTATAATTTTTTCTCTCATCCAAATTTTTCTCTATGAAAATAAAAAAAAATCCAATGTAAATAAAAATCGGATCAAATTAAATTTAAATTTAAATTTAAATTTAAAATTATAATTAAATTGATCTAAATTCCACATTTTATTTTATTTATAATAGTCAGATAAAACTGTTTTTCTTTAAAAAATTTATGGAAATCAAACTACAAACACCGAATGAATAATTTCTAACCAGAAAAACGCGGCGAAGACAAAAGTAGAAAGAAAACGGTACACAGCACAAACAAACACAGCGTTTGGATCAATATAAAGCCGACGGCGTTGGATCGGAAATTGGATCCAATAGTCGAAAACCACAGACGGTTCAGATCGTATTCACACTTTTTCTTCATTCTTCTTTTTCATGTCGACTCGTTCCTGATAAGGCTAGCATTCACTAAAGCACAGCCCAATCGGATAGCGCCACGTGGAAATTTCGGATGACTTTTAAACATGTCATCAAATTGAAAGGCAGCATCGCACACCATATCCCTCTGAAACAGAAACTCGATCGTTCACACACACTCTCTCTCAGCGTGACACTGAGAACGTTGTCGTTTTGAGACTCGAGTTTTTGTAACTGATTTGGTGCTTGGAAGCGACGCTTGCATGCCATGGTGAGGAGCAAGGAGTGATATAAAAGTTAGTGCCGTGTACCAGAAACGACAACAGAATGGAGTGCGTTGGAGCGAGGAACGTGGCGGCAATGGCGTTTTGCGTGAGTCCTGCGTCGAGGTTGAGGCTGCGGAGGAAGAAGCTCTGGAGGAGACGAGCCTCCTCCTCCTCGTCGTCGAGCGGCCACGGCGTTCGTTGCCGTTCGCGGTGGCTGAAGGTGGAGGCGAAGGCGGGGAGCGAGAGTTGCGTCGCGACCAAAGAGGACTTCGCCGATGAGGAGGATTACGTCAAGGCTGGTGGCTCCGAACTCGTTTTCGTCCAAATGCAGCAGAACAAAGCCATGGAAATGCAATCCAAGCTCGCGGATAAGGTTTTTCGGCTTCTAGCTTCTGTTTTTTGGATTTTGATTTGTTGTAGCATGTTGAGTGTAGAGAGCTTCGTTATGATCGGTCCTGGAATGAAAGGTTCACGAGGATTCGATGATTTTTCGTGCTGTTTTTTATTATTATTATTTATTTTTTGGTTGAAAGTCAATGGATAATGTTTTAGGCTTTGTTTGGTTTTTCGTTTTAGGTTACTGTAGCTGTTTTGTTTTGTTTCAATGGTCATTTTGAGAAGCGGGAGATGATGAAGTGATTGAGTTTCTTTTGCTGAGGAATTGCGTTTCATTCTTTAGCACATATTGACACGAGTACTGTAAAGGTTTTTACACTATATATCCTATTAGTCTATTACAAACTAAATAAACTCTGCTATTTGTAGTAAGTTTATTGTTTTTTATAATCGTACAATTATGATATCCGATTAATTCTCAGTGTAAGAACTTCAGTATGGTTAGATAGTAGTATTGCATTCCGAATTTCTTGACCGCTATGTGTGTCGTCGTTACATGTGTCCTGTATCCTCTTGTCATCTTAGCGTGTCTCCCGCCAATTGAATTTTTTGTGTTAATATTATGCTTATTTTGATGTATTTTGTTTTATTTGCATACAACTTAATTTTTCATACATATAAATAAATGATTATATCATGTATTTTAACTGCTATACCACTTCTACAATATGATATGATATAGCGGATTATTGGCTTTCTGCCATTTTCCGCGATCTGCAATTGATAATACCGAAAAACTTCCATATATTACATGCCTATTAAGCTCTACTGATTTTGAATTGTGTGGATGGAGTTGAGAAGTGATGGGTTTGGCTGTCGTGATCTTTTTGTTTGGTGATAGTGAAGGAGTTGTCAACTTTAATGCACTGGTTTCGATGGTTCGGAAATGCTTAACTAAAACGTGTTTTGGATTTCTGTTTTCTTACTGAGAAACTGTTGTTATCCTCTCTTGCAGTTACCACCTATCTCGATAGGAGATGATATACTGGATCTAGTTGTCATTGGTTGTGGTCCTGCTGGGCTTGCTCTGGCTGCTGAATCTGCCAAGTTAGGACTAAATGTTGGGCTTATTGGTCCAGATCGCCCTTTCACAAATAATTATGGTGTGTGGGAGGACGAATTTAAAGGTATCGTTCTTGCTGCATCATTCTACTGACATTGTCTTTATCATATATGCTATTCATTTAAAATAACATGTGCCACCGCACCCTACTGCATCATGGACTATGGCCAAAATGCTCACATGGCCTTGGGGGTTAGGCCTAACTCACATCATGGACTATGGCCAACATTCCCACATGGCGATGCGGGTTTGGAATAAGTAATAACAATAACAACAGCAATAACCTTACCCTAATAAGTGAAGTTGGTTAAATGGATCACATGGCAGTAATGGATCACATGGCAGTAATGGACCAGATCAAAAACAAAATTCTTATGGATATTATTTATTACGGGATTCTTTTTAATATTTTTCTCCAATGTCTTTATTGGTTTCTCGCTATCCCTTCAAAAACTAAGTTTATATGGATATTATTTATTATGAAATTATTTTTAATTATTTTCTTAAATGTCTTTATTGGTCTATATCTGCTCTTTTTCAAATCACATTAACTATTCTCGTCACCGACGCCTCTAGTGGCATTTGGCACATGTTAAACCACTTTAATCGATTTTTATCATATTTTAATCGAAAGGTGTCACAACGATATCTCGTCTTATACAAATATTCTATATTTCACGTCCTTTTTTGTATGGTCATACTTCCATCTTAACATTCCCATTTATGCATGAATCCTAAATTTTACTTCAAAGAGTATAGCTGATTGTACTATAGCCGTACGATAAAAACGTCTCTTTGAACTTGATCACTATTGTTACAAATAATTTTCGATAAAATGTTGCATCATTTTTGTATTATTGAATATTGATCCCATAATAAACTTAGAAACTTGTAGTATGACATCTTCCTTTTTTTTTTTAATCTCCAAAGCATTTATCTTTTGCTTTTTGCTAAAATTAATGCAGATACTCTATTTTTCTCCTACTCAAGTTCAAATTCCTTGATTCCAAAATCTATTTCTAGAGCTCAATTTTAGAATTAACCTTTTCTGTTGATTTCTTAATCAAGACTATATCATCCGCATGTAATATGCATCAAGGGATAATCTTTTGAGCAAACTCTTTTAATAGTAATCTTGTGAAAATAAGTAATACATGCCTAACAAATTCCATTTAATGGAATTTCTGAATGCTTATAGAGTCTGTTGAGCAGTAAACTCTGATATTTTGTAACTTTTCAATTTGGACATTTTGACCTAAAAATCAAGATATTTTATTTTGACAGGAGCATACTTGCTTAATTGATATTATGCATTAATGAACACAATTCATTGTAATTTCAGGTCTTGGACTTGAAGGTTGCATTGAGCATGTTTGGAAGGATACCGTTGTCTATCTTGACAATAAGGACCCCGTTTTAATTGGACGTTCCTATGGACGTGTCAGTCGGCATCTGCTTCATGAGGAATTGTTAAGAAGGTACAACCGTTGGTGATATATTAGTACCACTGTTATTTCTATCAACTGTAATTTAATTTCCTGATAACAATTATTTTATTTACTTCTGTACATTTTTTATTCATATTGATTTTCCTAGGTGTGTCGAGTCAGGTGTCTCGTATCTTAGCTCAAGAGTAGAAAGTATTGTTGAGGCTAGCAATGGTCTTAGTCATGTTGTCTGTGAATATGATATTGTAGTGCCCTGCAGGTATGAAAACTCACGTACCTTTAAATTTTTTATTCACTCATCTATTATATATAGAAACTTCTGACATGTTATCGTAGGCTAGTTACTGTTGCATCAGGAGCCGCTTCAGGGAAACTGTTACAATATGAGGTCGGGGGTCCAAAGGTGTCTGTCCAAACAGCTTATGGTTTGGAAGTTGAGGTTGGAAGCTGGCTCTATGGTTTTCAGTTTTCTACCAAGTATTTAGTTTAGTTTAGATTGATGCTAGTATCGTTAAAATTGTTGAGATTCCTTTCTCATATTTCCTAAATCTCCACATTTCTTCTCCTTTCCTGCATCTTTTTGAAAGTGTGACCTAGGAAAATCCCTTGCTTTGTATGGTTAATATGATTGAATTGTTGTTCTGTATAACGGAAGCAATATGGTGAGTGGTGGCAATAACACAGTTCATAAGTCTGTTTAAATCAGACCAATATTGGTGCTTCTTTTTGTCATACTTTTAAATACCATTAGAGTATATAAAATAACTGTTTAAAGCAAATCAATTATTGGAGCTTATTTGCTAAGTGCAAAATGGAAATATAAAAAATAACAGCAACTTTTTTAGTGAACAAGAGGTATTGTTACAAGTTCGGGTAGCATCTAAATATTAGTCTGTATTCTTCCTTCTCTTTAGCCATATATCACGTTTATATTTTTATTAAAAACTTAAATATATAAGATGTGATAGCATGTAATAAAGATATTGTTTCTTTCTTAAAATTTCAGGTGGAAAACAATCCTTATGATCCAAATTTGATGGTTTTCATGGATTACAGAGACTACATGAAGCAAAATGTTCAATGTCCAGAAGCAAATTATCCAACATTTCTTTATGTAATGCCCATGTCTCGTACAAGAGTGTTCTATGAGGTATGCTCAATGTTTTACAGTGTAGTGTTTTACACTACGTGTTACAGTTATGTTTGAATTTATGTAAAAATGCCGTTTTCAGGAAACCTGTTTAGCGTCAAAAGATGCGATGCCTTTTGATTTACTAAAGAAAAAGCTCTTTTCAAGATTAAATACAATGGGGATCAGGATTGCAAAAATTTATGAAGAGGTAAGATATTGGAAATGCTAGTTTTGATTGTTGATTAGTCGATGTGTGTGTGTATATATATATATATATATATATATCACTCTGACCAAACTTAATCGCTGGTATGGTATATGTGGCATCTATTGATCTATGCTCTTTTTTAGTTTTTTTCTCACTGAAAGCCTGTATATATAAGGAAAACAGTTTTTGGAGTTGAAATCCTGTGCTTCCCTTCATAACTCTGTATTTGAGAGGGTTAGGGTTTTGAGGGTTGAGAGAAAATGAGAGAATGAGAGAAGAGAAGTTGGGAGAAGTGTTTTATGCCCTAGCACATTCTGGGTATAAGAGTAATGGGTGGTTTTAAGAGTTGGCGCGTAGATAACCGTTTGAAACCACTTCAGGAACTTCTCAAGCGGTCCAGATAATCGATTATTTATGCAAATAATCGACTATTTGCATAAGTAAAAATCTCTTAAAAACGAAATCTGATATGGATAATCGATTATTTTCAGGATAATCGATTATTACAGAGGGTAGTTTCTCCTAACACAACCCAGATAATCGATTATTTAAAGAATAATCGATTATTCCAAAGACTTCTCAGATTCCAGCTTCCAGATAAACTTTATGTAATGCCCATGTCTCGTACAAGAGTGTTCTATGAGGTATGCTCAATGTTTTACAGTGTAGTGTTTTACACTACGTGTTACAGTTATGTTTGAATTTATGTAAAAATGCCGTTTTCAGGAAACCTGTTTAGCGTCAAAAGATGCGATGCCTTTTGATTTACTAAAGAAAAAGCTCTTTTCAAGATTAAATACAATGGGGATCAGGATTGCAAAAATTTATGAAGAGGTAAGATATTGGAAATGCTAGTTTTGATTGTTGATTAGTCGATGTGTGTGTGTATATATATATATATATATATATATCACTCTGACCAAACTTAATCGCTGGTATGGTATATGTGGCATCTATTGATCTATGCTCTTTTTTAGTTTTTTTCTCACTGAAAGCCTGTATATATAAGGAAAACAGTTTTTGGAGTTGAAATCCTGTGCTTCCCTTCATAACTCTGTTATCTTCAACCAACAATTTTCAGCTATCCTTTGAGCTCTACATTATAATTTTTGAAATAATAATATGATATGTACATGTTCTTCTAGTGCATCTAGGCATATCTTGCGTCTGAAATCTGAATCTGAATTTTGAGCGCCCAAAGGAAATTACCTTTCATCTATAAATGTTTGTGCAGGAATGGTCTTATATCCCAGTTGGTGGATCCTTGCCAAACACTGGACAAAAGAACCTTGCATTTGGTGCAGCTGCTAGCATGGTGCATCCAGCCACAGGTATGACTTGATCACATTTTCATTTAATGGATGTGCTTAATTTAATTTATTGCCTCTCAATATCAGTTTTTATCCAATAGGCTACTCCGTTGTGAGATCTTTATCAGAAGCTCCAAAATATGCTTCAGTAATTGCAACTATTTTGAAAGATGGCCATGCCAAGGACGTTTTTTCTCTTGAAAGAAGAAAGGAGAATCTATCTATGCAAGGTAATCGAATATGCCTATTATCAGAGGCTTAGACATAAAAGTTACCCTGTTTCTCTAAAATTGCATAAAATACGCTTATTTTGTTTCTTTCCTCTAAAAGTTATACTGTCTGGCACAAAATTTGTAAATAATTTTGAGATATAGATTTTATGTATATTACCCAAAATTTTGAGAACCGACACTTTCAGACTTAAAGGCGAGAAGGTTTTTTACTTGTATATGCATTTCAATTTTCTTTTTCTTTCAGCTTGGGATACACTTTGGCCACAAGAAAGGAAACGGCAGAGAGCATTCTTTCTTTTTGGTTTAGCTCTAATTCTGCAGCTGGACATTGAGGGCATTAGAACATTCTTTCGTACTTTCTTCTGCTTACCTGATTGGTATGGTCTATTTTCTCTCATGCATATGGTAGATGTCTTGGAATTTGCTTTATAATGTTTTCAAGTATAATATGACTAGGATCCCATGCTTAATTTTATGCAGAAAATTATGCTCATGCATTGAACTTGGTAAAGCCTTTGTTCGAATTTTAGGTTCAGCTATTGGCTATACAAATTTTAGGTTAAGTACCATGTTGGCTGAAAATCTCATATCATATAAATTGAGTCGGTGTTATTTGTAAAGAGGCCCCCAACATTTGTTGACATTAAGGGCCCGCTAGGTATACATAATAGGATGAGGCTTGATAAAGATTTTGGCTTTATTTTTTATTTTTTTTTCATGTTTCATGATTTTATGAATTTTGTCACTTAATTTTTAAATTTGTATATTTTACCACCAAACTTTTAAAATTTCACACATTTTATCATCTGTTAGTTGATTGTCTAATAGAATGACAATTGTGCAAAATTTTGGAAGTTAAGTGGTAAAATGTACAAATTCAAAAGTTGAGTGATAAAATTTGAAAAAAATTTAATAATTAATTTACAAGATTTAAGAAATCGTAAAATGAGTGACAAAAATTTGTAAAAGCCTGAAATTTTAATAGTGCGCTGTATATGGTGCGTCATTGTGTAATATGTCATTGAATAATATTTATTATGTTTGGTCATGCACAGTATAATATTAGATGGGATAAAACAACACTACAAAAATATCCTTTAATTAGAAATATACTATTCACCTAAATTTGTTATGTTATACTAGTTTTTTTGGAGAAATGAAATTCGCTAAGGCCTTTATAACCTATATTCATAATCATCTAAATTTATGTGTGGATTAGAATCGCAAGATGACTAAAAATCTTAGGAAGTTAGCAAATGAGACAGACGGTGAAACAAGAGATTGTGAACCTAAGAGGAAAGAATCTTGGTTTTGGAACGCAAGTGCGAGATAAAGTAAAGGCTAAAAGGAAATGTTATGAAGTGGGATCCTTATACAAGAATGCTGAAAATTGGGGAAAGTGTAAGGCATGTAAAAAACCAAGAGTAAAGTGAGCGAAGCAAGAACTAGAAATTTTGACCGGTTATACTAAACCTTAGGCACCAAAGATGGAGGAGAAATTATTTATAGGCTTTCTAAGTGTTGGGAAACAAGGACAATACTTGAAACAAATGAAATGCATCAAGAATGGAGAAGTTAACTTCTTGGTTACGGAACAAGATATTAGGAAAGATGGAAGAATTAAGGACACGGATTTTTATTTCACTCTAATAAGCTAAACACTAGAGTCGAGGACGAAAATTATACCTTTTATTGTAGAGTTTTCAGGAGCATGAGGTAAAAAAAGCATTAAACAGGATGGATTATGGAAAAATAGTTGGACCTGATAGTAACATATTGAGACATGGAATGATGGATGAGTGGATAATTGATTCACAAAGTTGTTTAAAGAGATAATAAGGTATTAGAGAATGTTGGATGAGTGGAGAAGCACTTTAATCCTTGTCTACAGGAACAGAGGAGATATACAAAATTGTGCAAAGTATAATGGTTTAAGCTCATGAACCATACTATAAAATGTGGGTGAGGGTAATTGAGCAGAGATTAAAACAATAGTCTCATTATTGAAAATCGATATGGTTTTCTTACCTGGAAGGTTGACCGTGGAAGATATGTTCTCGCTACAATAATTGATGGGGGTGATAATAGAGGAATCAAAAAGACTTGCGTATTAATTTGGAAAGATGTACGATTGGGTGCCAAGAGAGGTTTTGTGGAAGGCTCTTGAGAAGTTAGCATTGTATTTTCCGTATATTTGAGCGATCAAGGATACGTATGAGAGGGTTACAACAATTGTGAGAACACAAGGTGGTGTCAATAGATTTTTCTTATTAACAATACGTTTGCATTCAGAGTCAACTATAAGCCCTTGTACTTTTACCCTGATGTTAGATGTGTTTATCAAGCATATCTAAAAGCTGGTGACACAATGCATGCCTTTTCCCGATGATAGAGTCGCCTAACAAGCCCGATATTTAGAACGACACGACACGATACGGCATTTTTTTTTTTTTTTGAAATTAAGGATATGTCAAATAAAGTTTATAAAGAAATCATATAGATGTAAAATATTGATAAAAGAATCATCGATCATTTCTCATTAATTCATAGTTGTGATCACAATTTATAAAGAAGATATTAGTGGTCATAACAACTTAAAATACAGTTTCTTCCCTTATTAGAATCAACTGCATCGATAAAAACATTTTGGTAGAATTCAAAACAAGTATTGGTTGGCTCTATACAAAAGCCTGAATTACTTTATAGTGTTAACTCATAATTTCTAACCGTATCATTCTCTTCTCCATTGTCATCATCCAAAAACAACATAGTTTCTAAGTCCGGTTCAACTGGAGACAAATTGGCCATTTCAAGAAGTCCAATACCATCAACAAGTGGATCATGTACATCTCCACTAATGATAGTCTAGCAAAATAAAACATTTTTGCTATTTCTTCTCTATAATGTTTCCTATCTTAAACATAAATTGCACCTTCTATACTGCCCAATCTTCTTTTTGGTGGCAATGTCGGTGGCATTGGTGTTGTTTTGTCAGTAAGTAGTGGAACATTCTTGGCTGTAATTTGTTTTCAGTGACCAGAATTTGTCGCCGGGATTAAGGTTCATTTGAAATAGAGGCCACAAAGTTAAACATTACTTTTGCTTCTTCATTGTTGACTATTATCATTAGATGATACCGGAATGATAGCCATTTCTTTAACTCGTTAACTCTGATGGGATTAACTGGGAAACAACTAATTGTATGATGGAATTATGGATATGATTATCCCTTTGCCCGAAAAATTTACATAAATGTTGACATTGTGGCACAAAGGCTAATATTAAATCTACTTGTTTTACTTGTTGAGATTAGATGAATCAGATTGGTTATTGCTTATTTGCTTAATTCCTCGCCGCCCTCCCCAATATTTTGTGATAGAAAATTAGAAATTGCTTTACCGCGGAATTATCCCTTAATGTTTTTTCCTCGCAGGATGTGGAAGGGATTTCTTGGCTCCTCTCTCTCATCTACAGATCTTGTATTATTTGCATTCTACATGTTCATAATAGCACCAAATAACTTGAGAATGAGTCTAGTCAAACATCTGCTTTCAGATCCTACTGGTGCAACTATGATAAAAACTTACTTAACGATATAGTACGTTTTTATAACTCATTCCCCACGTTAGGTACCCTGTGTTGGGAGACAGGTTAGATTACTAAAGGAGCCATAATAGTAATTAGTAGGTTGTTGTATAGACATACATATCTTATTAAAAATTTAAAACTACATATGTTCTTAAGTTATGATTTTTATTTCCCATCTGCTGTTAAATTGCACGTCCATTTTATGCGCCTCTTGTAGCTCTCTGGTGATAGATTCAGAGTTGGAATGTGCTTTCCATCTTTCTTTCTTTTTTCTTGTGAAGAACAACAATCATTTCTAGTATATCTTGTTATATGACAAGTACGAACTAATCTGCAACACAAAATTAATGTTCAAGTCTAAACTAAACATACAATTAGCTAATCGGTCAATTCATGAGTCCTAGCAAACTCCAAATCCGCAATCCAAAACTTAGCCTTTACCTTTCTGATAAAAATATCCTTATCAAAATAATTAAAATATTATTGTAAATCCACTTAAGTATTTAGGTACAATAATTGATATTATTGAATATTGAAAGAAACTAACTTTTTTGATCTTTTCAGGAGACATTTTGAAAAGTAACATGTACTGTGAGATGGAAAAAACACCATAAAAAGAATTATTAAAAACTTACGATATATAATTATTCTTTCATTTTCTTATTTATAGTGTATTGCTTTAGATTTTAATCGACCTGAGAAGGAACTCTGAAGTTCCCTTTGGGAAATGTCTTTTCAAACTACATTAAATTACGAAGTGCTGTTAAATGAATGTAAAAGGATCAAGCCTTTAGAAGTTTAGATGCAGAATATTTTGCACACCATCGTCATTAATGTTGACATGACACAAGCAATGATCTCTTTTCATGTAAAATCAATGTCCCATGTCCCCAGAAGTAGTATAATGCAGAGACAGCAGAGTTAGTCAAGTGAAGCGTGAATATATAATAATATCATGTAACATCAAAACAGAATAAGAACAAAGTTGCAATTGATATCACTTGATTTTGTTATTATGTCAACATATTACATAGTCAACTCAAAACTTGACCTATATCTAACTTGATGGAAGCAAAAGATTGTTTGAGTCAAGTTCCATAAAGGGAATAAATAGCTTGCTAGACTATAGCAAAGGTGGATCGAGAAAAAAAGGGGGTCAGAATTTGCATGCCACAAGTGATGGCACGTTTCTTAGCTAAGTAGCTAACCTGGGCACAAGTGGTCACGTCACAGTGACAAGTTTACAATTACATGTACTTTAACTTCAAAACTTTCACAGATAGTAGAGCTATCAGTGATGCAGATATCCCTGTACACTAAGTTCTGCATGATAGGTGGCTGTAGGCACTGAAAGTAAGGCAAATCCGGTTGAAAAATAAGCAAGCTTACTCACCATCATGTCCTCCTATTTTTGCTACACAAGGTCTATACACGAAAATGGAGAAAAAAAATAGGTCATTGTTCTCAAGCGAGAAAAGGCATTCCCAGATGGTGGAACCGTCTATAATTTTGTGATGTCCTTTGAGTATCAGGTGGAATAGTCTATTGCAGAGTCACCTAGAACAAATGGTTTAGTTAGAACAGTTTCATTCTGAATAAAACTTAAAATGCAGAATTACACTCCAATCAGAATTAGTATTGTACCTAGATAATATACAAAATAAAATATATCACTAAATGTTATCATTAAGGGTGACAAATGAATTCATTTATTCATCATCCGATCTATCCACAAGTAAATCCATCAAATCTATTTACGATAATAAAAATAAATTATAGATTAGATTTAATTCATCGATTTAATTTTATAGATGATTAATAGTCCATCTATTACTTTTCAAAATTTATTGAATTACAACATAGAATTTTTATTAGATTGAGATTTGAAAAGATTATCTTGACATAAAAAAAATCTTGTGAATTTTAAAAGATTATATAATGACTTATAAAGAAAAGATAAAAATAAAAATAATTTAATTTTATGAATGGAGTGGATATCCATCCATGAAAAAATAATTAATGGATAGATTGGAAGATTTTTTTCTTTTTACTTTAAATGAATTAAACAGATTATATTTTTATGTGAATTTTTAATAGATCTTAATAAGTTAATAGGTTATTTTTATTTGACCTATTATGATTTGTTTAAAAAATTATTCAATCCATCCATTTGTCACATCCGGTTATCACATATTATCAAAATAAAACTTTAATTTTAATTAGACAATAGCACCAACAGTCTATAATATTGTATCTATGTTTTATACTTCAATTATAATAACATTGAGTAGTAATCAAAATTAGGTTACATTACTTTGCGTGGAGTCAACGGATGTTCGCTTTGGTGACATGCCCCCTGCTTCTGTATTACGTTCAACAGAAGTGATATAATCATTATTAGCTATAAAATATGTATCAAGTGAAATAAAATATCTCATCTAACTATTTTGCTACTGTCCTTATTCATAAAATGCATGCTGAACAAGTCATTGTCATTAATAGAAAAACTATTGAAATTTGAAAAAAGAAAGGTCATTCAGCTACTTGGAAATTGATCAAATGCTTAGTGTAGCAATAATTCATATATCCCATCAACACAAATTTGCAAGTAGAACATAAATAGGGACCAATGTAATCTTGAGTATTCTTTAGGGTTTAGTTGGAAGTGGGCTTTTGGAGGAAACGGCTAGGAAGGCAATTTTTTATTTTTAAATGAAGAAAATTATGGATTATCTAACATTTATAAAAATAAATAAAATATTGGAACATATATTTATGCTAATCTATCATTTTATTTCTTTTATTTAAAAATGATTTAATATATCATTAGGTTCTTGAACTTTTTGAAAGTTTTTGATTAGATCCCTAAACTAAAAAAATTGTAATTGAATTCTTGATTTTTTTAATATAATTTTTGAAATTGGTTACCTAGAGTTAGTAAATCTGTCATAAATTGTTAGTTTTATGACGATTTGAAATTGTCACAAATTAACTACAAAGACTTGATTACAGAAAATATAAAAGATTAGGGATTTAATTACAAACTTTTAAAGTTTAGGGACCTAATTAAAATTTTTTCTAAAGTTTAGGTTAGGGATCAATTGATATACTAAACATTTAAAAGTATATATCACATCATAAAATTTTTTATTAGAAATTAAAAGTTCACCCTCCCTTCTTCCTAAAAACCAATTTAGAGGGTAGGGG